TCTTAGCACTCTGTTGTCTTGCTGCTCCTTTATAATTACTGTTTAAATCTACTCTTCTGCTACTAATACTTCAAAAGTAACAGAGGTCTTCAAAGCAAGATGATCTTGTTTATAGGAATGATACAAGTTAGCAATACGCAGCTTACAGGTACTTAAGATAGGTGTAAAAATAATTTGGTTTTGATAACACTTTGTGGTATAGAAATCGGTATATATTTCCATATTTAACATAGATTTTAAGACATCATTCACAATTACTTGCTTTGGCATCATTTTTATGACGTAATAGTCATGATATTTCTTCCACCCCCATGCTTAAACCAATCTTTCTATCGAGACAAAGCACAAGCCACAGAAGTAATAAAAATGATAAGCCCTGTAGCGTAAAGCAAATCTAAAACAAGCCAGGACAGACGTAGTTTTACATATAACCTAAGTTTAAATTTAGGGTAGTGGATTGGTCCCTTACTTAGCATTTAATAAAACAGGATTCAAGGGTATTTATGTCTAAATAAAGAAATAGAAAAATTTCATTCCTCCCATCCTTATGTATGACAGAGTAAGACCTTTGTGTTGTAAAGGGAAAGAACATTTAAATTGCAGTCTTAAGAAGAATTGCTAAAAGGGATGTGTTACAGCTGGAGGACTCTCCTTCAGGTCAGTGCAGTGGAGTGTGGGCTGGAAGTCAGAGCATCCATGGGACACAGGTGTGAAACTCAACAGTATACAGGCTAAAAATTATTTCCGTTGATTTTAATGAGTCTGCGTTAGGGATGAATTTAAACCATTACAAAGAAGCGTTGATCTGGCATTTTACAGCTAGGATCATGTTTCTTATGCTGAATGCCAATGTTCAATTCTCAAATGTCAGAGTTAATTACTTTATTTCACCTTCTAATTTTTGAAAGTATTTGAAGTGTTGCCAAAGGGCATTCAAGTGGAAAGGGCAAGTCAGGTTTGTGTTCATTCTGGTTTCTTTTGTTTGTATTGAAGTAATGCCTATGTACACTACTCATACCTTACAATACCTTAAGTATACATACCTTGGGTAAATATTACACACTTCATATATCACACATCACAAGAGGACGAAGGGCTTATTGCTGCATGTAGGAGGTGCTTGCAGTTGAGACTGAATGGACAGGAGCCTGGGAAGTCTGGAGAGCCCCCATGGTCAAAGTGATAGGTAGCATTATCACTGGCTCTGACACTTTCTGCAAACACAACTGCGGGAGACAGCATTTTATTTGCTTTTATGAGCTCTTTTTTGACCTTTGCAGGCAGTTGAGCAAAATATGAATGTTCACACAAACCACTTTTTATTTCAACAGCACTGAAGGAAAATAACAAGAAACATTAACTATCATGTTTTAGCTCAAACATAGGGAAGATTTATTAACAGAGGTTCAGGAAAACTATAGCTGCCTTTTCCCTTTAACATCACGCAGGATGGGTGTGTGCATTGTCACACCAGGTGTCCCTTCTGTCCACCCATGGCTGTGGAAGCTCTGAATTTAAGCAGGAACAATTTGTTTTTAAGATGGGTTAAACACTGAAGTTCAGTCACACTGATCTTGTCAAACTTAATGGTACAGGATCATCTTTAGATATAAGGAGTGCTGAGACAGGAAAAAAAATGCCAAGATCAGGTATTTCTGGGACCACACAGATGGCTCCTTTTAGGCAGCTTTTGGTCATTCTGTGCAGGTCGTCCACAGCAATCAGTTGTTGGACCTTTATCTCTGCTCTTTTCCAGACTCTGTTCTCTTTTCCATGTCTGCTCACTGGTAGCAACATATGTCCATTTTGCAGTCTTCCTCCTTGAAAATCTGTCTGTTCAAGATAGAAAGCTTAAAAAACATACCCTTCAAGCTTAGAAACTATAAGTTTTATTTAAGCATGTTAGACCTGGGTTCTGGGATGAGGATAATTTTAGAAGCACCCAAAAATAATTTGAAAAAACATTTCTGTGATCTAGGAAAGGGGCTGTGCTGATACAGCCTTCTCCTCCCCTCTTACCAGAGGCCTCTGGCCGTTAATGGATTTCAGTGAAGGTAATCTCTTTCAGTATGGCAAAATAGCAAGAACTTGAAGTCCATTATGAAGAAATACGATTTTAGTCCACTAGTTATGCCAAATTCTAGAGATTATAAACAATTTTTTTTTAATAGGCTGATGTGTATAGAAAGAATGAACCAGCAATGACCAATGCTATCTCCAACCCTAATATATTTTGTGATTGAATCTTCAGTACTGGATTTTTACTAGAGGCAACTTTGTATTTTGCTTACTAAAAATATCCAAGGGATTTGATGTGATCTCTGTAGCAGAACAGTATATAAATTTCCTAAAGCCCTGAGGATAGTGTTCTGCTGGTGCTGCTGTTAGACAATATGCATGAAGGCGCATCTGCCATGGCTTTTTCCCTGGCCCATGGCTCCAGTGCTGCAGGGATGGAATAACAGCATGTCTTAGCACAGTGCTGCCATAAAAAATGTCTTAGGCAAGGAGGCAGTTGGGGGTGGGGAGGGACAGGGACATGGACACATCTGTAAGGTGTCCAGACGCGTACCACTCCTGTGGTGAGCCTGGTACCAACCATTGCTTTAGGCATGTTTGAATATCTCTTCCATGCTGCTGGGTTTGTCTTGGTGCACTGGGTTAGAAGCACTCATGCAGGCCACCCATGCATTTGGTTACCCCAGCACATACTGTTTCTGAGATGTTACTGGGACTTCGGCCTCATGCTTGGGACTCCTGAATATCCTACAGCCAGCCCCAATTCCCTCTGTAATTAGGTTAATTTTACCCTAAGGGCCTTTGCCTGCCTCTTCTCTCTGAAGGTAAAAAGTAATATCTGTACCTGCCTCAAGTGTGCTTTGGAGGAAAACAGAAGATGGAGGGAAATGAAGTGATTACATGAGGACCTACAGTTCATTTTGCTTGAGCAGTCCCATTTTTGCTGTAAGATTTCTTTGGCTGTAGTAGAATAGTATTTATTACAATTAATAATGTTTAAATGGGCCATGTGGAATGGAAGTGGGCACACCATGTTGTGGGGATGGAAACATACAGAAGCGTTCCCTGGGTGACACATTTCTGACACAGCTCAGGACGAGAGGATTCATCTGAGACTCTGGCTATTGTGATTTTGGGAACTGTGACTTATTCTTGTAAACAACATTAAATTTGACCCATGATGGGGTCATGCTTGCCTCCCCAAGTTTAGCTGTTGTTGTTAGTTGTACACAGATTGATCAGTTTACCTTGATGCAGTACTTGCAGGCTGTAATTACAAGTGAGTGCTTACAGCATCAATAGTTTTGGAAAGCAATGTATGTGGGGTTTTTGCAGGTAATAAAATGGAAAATCCAATTTGCAATTGCAAAGCAAGCCCCTGAGTGATACATGATCTTCATAGCAGCACTGGTCAGGGGGTTACAGCTAATCACAGTGCTGGCTTGCTTCCCTGGTGGCCTGTGCCTGAAAACTGAATAGCGAGCAGTGTGAGCCTGTGCCTTGAGCCAGCATAGATTTAGACACACCAGTTTCTAGCTTATTAGGTCCTTTTTGTCACAGTACTTAATCCTCCTTCCTGATCCTTGTTAGAACAGGGCTGCCAAGTCCCCTAATAAAGGAGATGGGTGCGAGGCTCCTAACGAGGCGCACTGAAGCGTGAGGCAGGGAGGGCAATTGCTGTCTGACTGACAGAGGGGTGAAGTGCTCCCTGCCTGTTGTTATTCCAAAAGAACGGGCCCCAGACAGCTGACAGATGAGCGTGCTAAGGTAATGGTAACTTGTTGATAGGCTGGTATGAGATGCATGACATCTTCTCACATGGTATAATGGTCTGTCTTAACTATAATTGTGTTAACCCTTTTCATGGAGAGCAGCGCGTCAAGAATTAGCTGTAATGTGGAACATGCAACTGAAATGGCCAGCAAGCACCCGGCTTGCAGCAGCTCCCATAGCATGCATGTGTCTTCATGCAGCTTACACAAGTGCCTTTAATTTTGAAAAGCTATCACAGCAGGTTGATTTCAGATTTCTCTGACAACTTGGCTCAGTCAGTCTTCAAAACCTTGCAATTTTGTCTTTTGTTTCCCATAGCTAAAGATGATTTTTTTTGTTTGTTTCTTTAGATTGCTGGGGGGAGGCCAGGCCTCTCTTCATCATCAAATTCACAAAAATAAATGTAAAATGTAGCACAGATTTCTTCTTTTGGTTTAAAGAACACAAGAAAATATTTCAATGGCTAGACAGTCCCGGAATTCAGCCTGTTGTGTCTATAGTCATGAGAGGTTTCAGCAGAGCATGTACTGTATTGTTTGTGTGGTAAACATTTACAAAATGAATAAACAAAATGTGCCCAAGCGGACTGCTAATAGGTCTCTTACCTATTCTGCTTACAGGAGGACTTAAAACTGGCATGTTGCAGGAATGACACTTTTTGTTTGTTTTTCACAATATAGAGAACTATAACCACAGATCAGTGATGGGATCTCAGTACAAACAACAATGCTGGCTACTGAGAAGGCAAAAGATGTATTGGGCATCACTTGGTGACATTGTGCTTGGAGCAGTGATCAACAAATGCTTTGCAATGCTAAGCTTCAGCAGAGCAAACTCCTATCCCAGTGTCATTCTCCTTTCACTCCTGCAAGTGGTGGAGAGGGCCCAACACCTATGTGCTGTTAAGCTCTGCTTTAAACTAATCTGATGGGTAAATACTCTATGGAGTGGGCTGAGTTCAAATCCTGTTGAGCAATATGTAGTAGCACATTAATAGGGCAGAACTGCATCCATCATGGTGGGAACTATTATGTTGTCCTTTTCCTCTCTACTAAGACTGAAATATTTGCTTTTATTAAATATTTGCTTTTATTATGGTTGTAATCTCTGAAACAGATGAAAAGTTTTCTATCCACAGCAGGATATTTCTTTTAAATTTTTCATATTTCACTTTTTCTTCATATGCTGTTTTGTTTAATCCCTTTCAGGTAATTTGGATTTGACTGGTCAAAAGCAAGTGTTCAAAGCAGAGAACAATCCTTGGGTTACCCCTATTGCTGACCAGTTCCAGCTGGGTGTATCTCATGTTTTTGAATACATTCGTTCAGAAACATATAAATAGTAAGTATTGCCTGTCACTTGTGTACTGTGGCTGTGTTGTTGGATTTTATTTCCTATAGTGTGTTTGGCGAAGTGTTACCAGCGATACCCTTATTTCATAATTCATGCAATAGCTTGGTATTCAGGGAAAATATGTAAACTTGTACATTTATATTAAGGAATTTTGCTGACAAGAAGGTAAATAAACATGATTTAGACATGTTTCGAAAGCATAGAGACTGTTTGATATTGTCCTGCATTTGTTGTTCATTTCCAAGAGTTACTAAGTATCATGAGAGATGTAAAAGAGAAAGCAGGACCAGCCTTTGAGAAGTACTAATTTTAAGTTGAAATAGATATTTGCTAAGGTTTTTGGATGCAGGTTATGTTTTGAAGGAGATGTCCAGAATGGGTTTACAAAAGTCTGCAACCCAGTAATTCAAATACAGGTACTAGTGTTTTCTTCAGCACTGTAACTGGGAAAAAAACCTTCACACTGGGACTTCTTTATTTTAATTCAAAATTCTATGTACAAATGCAAAACATTTATTTAGGAAATTATGTCTTTAATCATTCACTGAACTGAAATGTTTCTTTTTAGTAAAAATATCTGTGTTACCAGTCCACAGTAAAGCTTCAGATGGGAAGTTACTTTTATGTATCTGACAACTACCTTGATTCTGTCTTCCTAGAAGCAGTAGGTAGTACAACCTCTAGGTTGGAAACTTACTTTTTGCATTTCCTCTTTATTTAAAAACATATATTGTAAAAATTAAGAAGCATTTCTGACAATTTTTTATATGGTAGCTGTCCAAATTCAATTACAAACGAGAATATTTACGAGTAAAGGTTTCAGGATTTCAATTAAATAACTGAGATGTAAATCTGTGTATGAAATTAAATGATCCAGCAATGGCTTTGTAGGCTGTTCTTCATTTACAGAATTTGAGTGAGAAGGATCACAGATGGGAGAGTGGTTACAAAAGCCGTATGTCTCAGAAGTGCCCTGATATTTATGCTGTAATATGTGTTCTCAAGATAGATTTATTCATAGATTTAAGTAGGCTGCAACACCCTTCTTCCAGTAGTACTCTGTACTACAGACATGGTGTAGGAAAACAGCTATTTCCTTAGACCATCCCTTCTCCACAGTCCATTCTGTAGCTGTGCCTAGGTCTCTTGATGGTTTGTAATATTTTTTTATTGTCAATTTTGTTTGTTTACTGAGCAATGTAGTTTAGGGACCTCATGCATTTCTCACAGGACCACGCTGGTCGCCATGAGGACAGCAAAATTTCAATGACTGAAGTGCAGTTTTGTGAATTTGACTCATATTCAGTTTGGTTGGGTGGGGAGCTGTTGTTATGTACTGAATAGGGGGGAAAAAATATTTTATAACTGTGGATATATTAAACTGCTCTGGCAAATTTCCTTGTGCAATCAAGGAAATTGACATAAAAGAATCTGTAATTCATCACTTGCTCCACTATTGTTCTTGGGTTTAAATTAGCCATATTATGTTTGCTGTCTTGTTCTTTGCTGAGGTGTAACAGTGTCTTGTTGGCTAATGGGCTGATTTTCATTTTGTCCACAGTAAATATTTGAAGCCTGTGCAGTTAACAGTGTAAGCAAAATCAGACTGTAGACATTAAGAGGGGAAAAAACAAAATCAAATAATCTTTCCAGGTCTCATTCATGGCCTCTACTTTGATCTTAGAAGATTATTCAGTTAAAATGACATTATTTTCAAAGATGAGTGTTGAAAACCAAATGCATGCAGATGTTAATAATTAGATTTTTTTTGTTTTGGTGGTTTGGTTTTTGTTTTGGTTTTTTTTTTTTTTTTAATTTTTCAGGATATAAAGATTTTATATTTAAAGAATAAAGTTAAAATATTTGTATAATTTTGTTAGGATCTCAGTAGCAACTTTTTTTCTTTTTTTTGTTTTTTTTTTTTACTCGTTTCACATGCTATAAAGAGAGTGTGGATTTCGTGCTGAAAAAGATTGTCCTTTTTATTTCCAGTTTTCTTTAAATATGTGATCTGAGAATTACTTGGATGCCACCTGCTATGCACATTTTTCTGATTGCATTTGATTTTAGGTGTTAAAACTCATAAGAAATGGCATAATCTAGGTAACAGGTCTAGTAGCATTATTGCGCACAAAAGCAAACAAGCCGTGAACACAGAAGAAATGAAAACTTTCTGTGATGAAATTTTGATCTTTTCCTTCTAGCAGCTATAGACCTTCTTCAGCTTCCTTTTTCTTTCAGAGCCTACATTCAGTGTGTTTTTTCTCACTGAGCAAATGACAACATTGAGATGCAAATGTAATAATTTCCTCTGTAGATATCTAAGCAAAATTGATCTCTGGAGGGATTTTTGGATCCATTCAGACAAAAGAAAAATTTAAAAATTAATTTGCAACATTTGATAGACCCACACAGCTTAACTTTTAATCTGAGACAAAGCCGTACAGTTAAATGGATGACTGGATAGAATGCTGTTTAGATAACCTCACTTGCAATGCTAAGAGACAACAGCTCACATATGGTAGCAGCTGACAACCAGATCAGTAAGTTTACTTTCAGGTACTGGAAGATATGGACTTTCATAAACCAGGAGCTATGCATCTATGTAGTAGACAGATTTTGAGCTCCAAAGATAGTAATTGTCTCCTTGTGCTCATTGCTTTTGCTGGAATTATTGGAATCACTGATTTTACTTTGTTTACGAGTCTAGCATTGTCTGTACTAGCTAAGAGAGAGGGTATGCTCATACAGTCACACATGCCAAGTTTCAGGGGCTTAGTAAGTTACGTTTCACTAAGTGGTTTATGCTAATGCATTTTATTTTGTGTTTGCAATGACTAGAACATCGTATTTACTCAGTTGCTGTTATCTTAGCCAGAAAGTGGTAACTCAGTAAGTCTTGGCAATGTGCTCACTTGCAGTCATGTTACTAAACCTTCAGATTTCCACTGATGACTGGCACAAGCTGTAACTGTATGCTGCAGTCAATATCGGAGATTTCCATTCGGATTCTGTGAGGTTGCCCTTGTGAAGCAACTACCAAATAGATCACAAACCTCTTCTTTCTTCTGTGAAATGTACTGGCTGTTTCAGTCATATGTAGTGAAAAATTAGACTCCATTTTTAGCTTTGTCTTGGGATATTCATGCTCTAGTGATTAATTGACAAGCAG